GACCAGGAGGAAGCCACGCGAGGTGATTATGGGGATGCCATGGGCGGGTGGGGGGTGGGGAGCAGCTCGGCCCAGGCTGGGGGACCGTGGGCCTGACCGTGAGGGGCTGGGCCTTTGCCTGCGGGAAAGCTTTTAGTGATGCTCATCTCACAGTGGGGGTGCTCACCCAGACCTCCAATCCCCCCAAGACGGCCCCTCCCTGCAGGCCAGGGACTTCCCCAAGTGTCCGCCATTTCCTGACCAGAATTACATGCCACCTCGTGGCCAGGTGTGTGTGTATGCGCACACGAGTGCGTGTGTACATGAGTGCGTGTGTGTGCGCACACGAGTGCACTTGTGTGTACTCTCATACACCTGTATGCACACAAGTACGGATACCCACAGTTGCCACGTTTGATGTTTGGCAGCTGCCTAGGAAAGCTCTGCGTGTGCGAGTGAGTGAATAGAGGCGCTGGACCCTGAAGGAGGGCGCGCGGGGTGTGCACACGAGAGTGTGTGTGTATGCGCACACGAGTGCATGTGTACATGAGTGCGTGTGTGTGCGCGCGCACGAGTGCATGTGTACATGAGTGCGTGTGTGTGCGCACACGAGTGCACTTGTGTGTACTCTCATACACCTGTATGCACACAAGTACGGATACCCACAGTTGCCACGTTTGATGTTTGGCAGCTGCCTAGGAAAGCTCTGCGTGTGCGAGTGAGTGAATAGAGGCGCTGGACCCTGAAGGAGGGCGCGCGGGGGCCCCTTCCCAGGACACGGAGCAGGGAGGAGTGGGCAGCCTGCAGGTGGGCTCACCTGGGAGCAGGTGACTGTCCTCATCCGGCCACAGTTGGGGACTGAGTCTGCTTATCGGGGGGCGCGGGCGGGGGTCAGACCAGGAGGAGACGGGCCTAGAGCCGCGTTCCCTGCATCACCAGGTAAGACAGGCTCCTCGGAGCAGAAGCGATGAACCAGCAGTTACGCGAAGGCAGATGCGTTTGTTCATACACTCGCCCACTCAGTGGCCACAGGAATGAGCCCGGTTCATTGTGTGTCCGTCCCGCGAGGGTGGGTGACGGGCTGTCTGGCCGAGTAGATGGCGTCCTGACGGCCCTGTGTCCTCCCCGCAGCCTCCGCAGCCTTCCTGCTGTCCCTGTACATCCAGGACGTCTGGCTGGGGGCCCAGCGGCCAGACGCCCTCCTCGCCCACGTCCAGATGGTCCGTGAGGCTGCGGGGGACGCGCCAGGCGGTGACCAGGAGGCCGTAGTCGGGCTCTGCGAGGACATCGCCGCCCTGGCCCCGGACACGTGACGCCCTCGCAGGCTCTAGGAGTCCAGGGGTGTGTGTAGTGACCAGGGCCCTGGGGGAAAAGCTCGCTTTATTTACTCGGCCAATAAACAGACTGGAGGGCCTGCGTGAGGCGGTCAGCGTGACGGGGCCAGGGGGCCGCACAGCGGTCAGTGGGCCGGCCCTTTTCCCGTTCCTCGTTCTGAGAGGAAACGCCTCAAAGTGAGTGGCACTGAGCATGCGAGGGCTCCCGGGTGAAGCTAAGCTAAACGGCCACGAATGTGTCACAAAGCAGAGGCGCCTCAGCTGGTCTCTGTAGGCGTCGGGGCAGAGCTCCGGGTCACTGTCCGGTCAGCTCCTGCCGCCGCTTCTGTTTCCTTAAATCCGCGGGCTGCTCAGAGCCTCTGCTTAGGGAAGGCACCTGTGTTTTTAACCTGATAATAAATGTCTATTTTTGTTAAGTTTGTGCGTTTTGCTTAATTGATGTTAAAAGCTATTTGTATTCCACAGAGACCTGCATGTTTGCGGTCAGGGTTTGACTTTTAAGATCCCTCATTAATTGGTGTCATCATTGACGCACGTGGAATGTGGATGAGGCAGTTTCCGTGTAGTTTAGCCTGTCCCTCAGAGCTCTGCGTGCCCGCACCCCGCACCCCGCACCACAGGGCTCCCGGCGCTCGGCTCGTCACTACGGCCCAGCCGGGGACTCGGGGTCAATGCGTGTGCAGCAGTGATGGCGGAGGCTAGAAAGTGGCAGAGCAGGATGAGTGAGTGGCTGTTACATCTTTATTTGTGTTTATTCTTTTCTACGCTTCCAAGGTGAGCATGGGAGTACGCGCCTGGGCACTGAAGCTCTGCCCCGTTGCGGCTGCTCCCGGCCAGGCCAGGCCAGGGGGCTGGTGCGGCTGGGACCAGTGCGGGTTCACACGCCCACGGCAGCGCCTCCTGGTGGTGGTTCTTGGCAGCTGCCTGCTGCTTTCAGGAGGCAGGTGTCCAGGTTTGAGCCCCTCGGAGTAGCCGCTCGCTGGTGCAGGACCGTCTCCAGTGGGAGGCCAGCTGGGGTGTGGCCGACATCAGCTGATGCCGTGGGGGTCCCCGTCCAGGG